ATTTTTTTTTGCATACTAGCATGCTAGTTAACATTCGTGTCAGTCAGCTGTTGGCTCTAACGCTGGCCAATAGAATCTTCCTGGCTATTTGTGGCGGCCAGCTATAGGCTCTAAGTCTGGCCAGTAGAAAATGGCCGCAAACTACATGAAAACTGTCGTAGAAGCATGAAAAAGTCGATTAATTCCACTATCGATGGGAGTTGTGAAATGCAAATTCGGTCGTGGCCTTCTCGCTAAATTGGAGCATGTGCATGTAAATTTTGGTGCATCCGTCGAAAATTGCGGCTGTGCATTCGTTACACACACACATCCTGCCTTTTATAGATAGAGATTATTTGTCTTTTATAACTTATTTTAATACATTTTATTATTTATTAATAGTTTTGATGAATCATTCTGTTCAATGCCTCGACCCGTCTTCGATATCACGATAAACAACATCCGTGTCCTGGGTAAGACGATAAACTACACACGGCAACAAGACTTCTGATCAGGAGGTTTTCAGGAGCATGCAAGTTCGTCTCAATGACTGTTGTTCCCAGGTCAACTTTGACACCTGTTCGGGTCTCAGCTATGGGCAAAAATTAACCCCCAAAATGGGGTCAAAACATTATGAAAGGTTAAAAATAGATTTTATTACCAGCAATATATTTTTGAAGGAAAAAATTATTACCAGAAAATCATTATTACCAGTAATACATTTTGAAAAAAATTCGAGCAATAAATTAAAAATAAATAAATATTACCATCAATTAAAAAATCTTGTCGGCATTAAATAACCCATTGAGATTGATATGCACTAAAAAAAAAAAAAATAAATAAACGAAACCAAACTAAACCAAAGAATACATATTCTATTCATACGAATCTATCCTAAAAATCTTTTTGGTATTAAATAACCCATTGAGGTTGATATGCCGTAAAACAAAATAAATCAAACCAATCTAAACCAAAGAATACGTATTCTATTCATACGAATCTATCCTAAAAATGTTGTCGACATTAAATAACCCATTGAGGTTAGTAGTCCGTAAAACAAAATAAACCAAACCAATCTAAACCAAAGAATACATATTCTATTCATACGAATCTATCCTAAAAATCTTATCCTAAAATCCCATTGAGGTTGATATGCCAAAAAAATAAAATCAAACCAATCTTGGTTTACGTATTGTTTACGAACTATCCTAAAAAATCAACCATTAAATAACACATTGAGGTTATCGAAATTTTGTTTTACGGCATATCAATGGGTCATTTTAACCTTCACCTCTGTTACCAATTCAATTGATCGATACTTGTGAGCATATGCAGTACGTGCTTTTCGAGTATCCTATCAAACAGTGTAGTAATGTTCATATTATCACTGCAGTCCTTACCCATCACGCCCAACATGCACAGCCATTGTTTTTAAATGATCATCCAACCGCCTGAAGGCCAACGATTAACCGCCTCACAAACGGAGCTAATCCACGTGTGTGTGTTTCCATGTATCTAGCTCTGCGCCCATCCACAACAGTAAAGATGGTAACTTTGAGACACTACCTAAATCTATGACACTGATATGAGCAATATGAGTGTTCCTAGGCCACAATTTGACCGATGACTATACGAGTGTCGATTACTTTGTGTGGACCGTGGAGTAATGGATAGCGTTTTGGATTGAGGAACTGGAGGTCAGGGTTCGGATTCCAGTTCCGTTCAATACATTCACTTACGTGCTAATACTCTTGTGAAAAATATGAATATATCTTTTTTCTCCTCTTATGGAGAGACTGGCTTGTATATCCTTGGGAAAGTACTAGCATAAGAGGAGAAAAAAAAAACAAAAAAAAACTCTGAAACCAGATTAACTTGGAGAGGGCTAGGCAGCGTTAGAGCAACCTGCCTAGGAAACACCACTGCTGCAACGGCTGCAGTACATGTCCAGTTTTATTCTCCTGCATGTCCAGTTTTATTCTCATTGTATGTTTTATCGCTATATGAGATTGGGCGTTGTTTTCATTAAAAAACGAAAACACTTTTGCGATCTTGCTTTCCTCTAAATGGAAGCCACAAAAATGTGATATTGAAGTAAATGGACGTGCAACAAATCCCAGATAATAGAACTCCCGTAAGATGTTCAGAAAACTAGAGCGATGTAGGCGTTGTAAATAATTAGGTAATCCCATTTCCATGGTTACAATTCGGTTTCATATTGATCTGATTCTTACGAATGATACTTTTTTTCATCAAGTACCTGTTGATTTTTCTTTCTTTCTTTTCTTTTCTTCCTCACTTTCCATTATCTGGGATTCTTTAGTTTTGTTTTTGCGTTGTTTGCATTATTTTAAAACCTTTCATTTCTTCCGAATTCTTCTTACTTTCTATGGCATTTTTTTTTGTTTGTCATTTTTTTCTCATCTTAATTTTCCCTTCTAGTTACATTTTTTTTTTCGTTGCCTCTGATTTGATTTGAAACGAATATTTTTCACGCTATCATATAAGCTTAGCTTGCTTCGCCACTAAGTCAAACTCAGGAAATGTTGGAGGAAGCCAGCGTTTCAATCTCGACATGATTCGTTGTCGAGAAAAAGCAGTGTTCGGGTATATAGGTTTTGTACATCGACCCCTATCATCCTTTACGAAATATGTTAGTAAATATATCTTTAGTACTGCCGTAGATGCAATTGAAAAATATAAACATTAGAACGATTGTGTTATGAAACTTTTTTTTAAGTAAGTCTTGGCTGCCTTGAAGATTGACATTCTTTCTTTTATCTTGGTTCGACTGACGACTTATAGAAAAGATGGGAAAAAGTGTATATTTCAACCACGAGGCAGACCAAATTTATTTCATGTCTATATGCAGCGCCGTTAAAATGCACTCGTCCGGCTAAGGGAGTCCGGGAAAAAAAATCACGTGCTTGCTTATTTTATTTATTTATTTATTTATTTTTATTTGTATTATATTTTTTATTTGTATTATATTTTTTATTTGTATTATATTTTTTATTTGTAATTTTTATTTTTATTAAAATAAATAATAATAATAAATATTTATCTTTATTTATTGTCTATTTTTAATTCATTAAATTAAATAAAAATAAAATATTTATTTTTGTTTATTGTTCATGTTAATTTTTTATTTTAATATTTATTAATTTTAATATTTAAATTTAATATTTGTCTATTTTTAATATTTATTAAAATAAATAAAAAATATATATTCATTTTTATTTTTTGTCTCTTTTAAATTTTTATTTTTATTTATATTTATTTATTCATTTATTTTTGTTTTTTTAATAATTTCACCCCAAGCAAGGGAATACAGCAAATAAGTCGTAAGGGGTTACTGAATGTAAAGGAATGAGATTAAAAATATGCTATTAAGGAGAACAAGAATTAAACAGAAAGAAGATAACAATTGATATTGCATTTAAATTTTTGAAATTTACTGGCAAGCCATAAGCCGGGAGTGATTTCCACAGGCGAGAAGTGCGGGAGAAGAAACCGTTAGCATAGAACTTATTGTTACTTCTCGCCATTTCATCTGTAAAATGAAGAAACATTGTGTTGGGGCGCACTCTCCTTCTGACTGATAATGGACTGATCCCTCTATGATATAAGTCAGTGCTAGAGAGAGTAGGGATGTTGTGCGAAGGATCAGGTTCAGCGACAGCAGTCGAGATCCGGTTACCATTACATACCGTTGGACTGTCGACTTTTGCTATTGTTACTTACTAACCGGCGTTCCTTATTACTAATCACTCTGTTGTTAATTACCTCTTACAAATATACCAGTATTTATCCCTACAACTGTGTTTGTCTTTATTCGAATACACACACGCGGGAACACTCCCAACAACTCAACACATTGCTGCCAATGTAGTACTGCCATTAAATTCATAAACACTAGTAAACAACGATGAAATTCCATCAGATGAATTCCCCATGAAAGGCACAGGGAAGAAGTGTTACGGAGATGAGAAAGGTGCCAGGATCATTAATATTACAAATTCTTTGGATTTTATCAAGAATTTCCAAATATATATCAGAAGCACCAGGCCACACGCGGCAGTAATATTCAAAGCATAGACGATTTGTAAACTTATAAATATACATGATAGATTCTGGCGAGAAAAAAAAAACAAAAACTTCCTAGCCTGACACTTTGAACCAACTTTCTTAACTGCAGACTTAGCAAAAGATTCACTATACTCTTTCCACGTCATGTCGACGGAAAACGTTAGTCCGATAAGGCGTGGTGAGTCACTCTCCAGGAAGTTAGCATCAGCCATTTTGTTTGAAGTTAGAAACAGTTTTCTCAGACGATTAAGAGAGCAGTTTCGTTTTGGAGGTGTTAAAATTAACAAGTCCCTCTTTACCCCATTTAACAAACAAATTGTAGGTCAATTTTGACCTCATAGAACGGAACAGACTTAATATTTGTCGATATTTTGGTAAATGGTTGGACCCAGAAGTTATCAACGCTCCTTTTATTTCTACTTTTGTTGTCAGTATATCTAAATACTCTTTAATAAAAATCACTTACAAAAATATTATAACATTTTGATCCTATCCATTATTATTTTATCGAACAGATTATTTGCCTCTCACTCACTTCTACTTTGTTAACACTTTCCCTGCTACTCATTTGTCCACTGCTGCCCCCATCCGGTCAGCCATTTTTAAAGAAAATGCCAAATTCCAACCTACATATTTTATTACACAGAAAACTGGCACCAGTGTGTTTTACAGCATTCCATTTTCAGGGATATACCTGGGAATGACTTTCAAGATCAGTAATAGGTATACACATGATATCTTTTGAAGCATTGTCCTTTGTGATTTTACGATAGATGGCGCAACGGAAAACTCATACCAGCGTAAGTGTTAATACTGTACAATTATTTTATATATATTTTTTTAATTTGATTAGCACCATTTTGTCTAAGGTGTTCTTTCTTTTCTTTCGTTCTTTCTTTATGTTTCTTTCTCTCCATTATTCCTTTATTTTAATGCTAGTCCTTCTCTCTCCCTCTCTCTCTCTCTCTCTCTCTCTCTCTCTCAATATTTTCTTTTTTTCTTTTTCTAGTTTCTGTGTTGATGATATTCGAGATTCTTTTGTAGCCGTTTTTCCTTCGTTTTCCCGCTCAATTCATGATATTCTTTATCATTTTCGGCCATTTTATTGCGAATTTTTTTTTCCTATTTATTCTTTAATAACTCTTCATAAATTCAGACAGAAATTATTTCTTTTGTCTTTGTTTTTCTTCTTTTTTTTTCCTCTTATATTTTTTTAAAATTCTTATTATCTTCCCTATTTAACATTTTCTTACTTCCTCTTCTTTCTTTGTCTCACCCTCTCTCTGTAACTTTTCTACTTTTCGCTCTCTCTTTCCTTTCTCTCTTTTTCTTTTCTCTCTCTCCCTTTCCTTTCTCTCTCTCTCTCTCTCACTTTCCTTTCTCTCTCTCACTTTCTTTTTTCTCTCTATTTCCTTTCTCACTTTCTTTCCTTTTCCTCTCTCCCTCTTTCATTTTTCTCTCTGAATTTCCTACTTTTACTCTCCCTGTTTTAATTTTTCTATCCCTCTCTTTCCGACTTGTCTCTCTTTTCTACTTCTCTCTCCTTATCTCTCACTCTCAATTTCGTTCTTTTTATATCTCTCTCCTTTCCTTTCTCTCTTTTCTCCTCTCACTATCTGTTTAAAACTCTCCGACATTTATTGTAATCTTTCCTCTTTCCGTCTTTCCTCAGTAAATCTCTCTTCTTCTTTCCTCCCTCTCTCTCTCTTTTAAGATTCCAGACTTTCCTCTCTCACTTTCTTTTATCTCTCTCACTCTCTCTTTGCGACTTCTTTCTCTCTGTCATTATCTGCATTTCTTTCTCATTTTTCTCACGCTCTCTCTTTCCCTTTCCAGCTTTTCTTTCTCTCCTACTTTTTCATTCATCAATACATTTTTAACTTAGTTAATCCCTTTTTTCTCATCTTTCTTCTTTCCGTTTTTTCTTTCTTTCTTTCTTTCTTTCTTTCTTTCTTTCTTTCCGTCTTTTACTTTCCCCCAAAATATGAATACCTTTTTTTTATCAATGTCTCTCTCATTAGTTTTCTTCTTTCATTCCTTTGTTTTCTATTCTTTCCTTCCGTCTATATTCTATTTCTATTAATTTCTTTATTTTCCTCCAAATCCTTTTTCTTTTCTCATCTCACCCCATTTTCTTATCACAAAAGCCGCCATAAACACTGACATCTCTCACGAAAACAAATTTACAATTATTTCATACAACAGAATATACGACATTCATATCAATGGAAACGAGAGGTTTACGATGTTTTTCATAATTAAACCCCAAAGCAAGATATTCAGACATTTACTAACAATACTTGTGTGTTCCTATTTCATGTGTTTACAAGTAATTTAAAGAAAATTATACAAAAACGATTGTTGTTCTTTGAAAAGAAAACAAGGGTTATTGTTCTTTGAACATCGTAGATACTGGGAAGTAAGTATGCATATATGTATATATGTATGGTGAGGTCCCAGACGATTTCCTGTGCATTTTGATTTGATGTTATTTTTCGACACGGCGCAGGTTATAATGTTGGAATATTTCGAATGTTGGCATTTGCCTATGTATCATATTTATATTTAAATTTATAAATATCACATGGTCAATAGGGAAGGTTGATATTTCATTTTCTTTTAGAAAATCAACAATACCTTGATATGAAAGCTAAAGTTTGATGGGATCACTAAAAAAGAAAACAAAAAATAGATTCATAGCTTTTACCAATTTTGGGGGAATGAGTTTTAAATATGGCCAGAAAAAATGTAAAGAAATGCCTAATGTCTGCAAAATTTTACTATTTCAAGATAAATCCAAATACACTTGATATCTTTAGTATTATCCGTATATCTACTTGCTGGTATATAAGTTATCATTGTAATGGCAACGATGGTTGCATATTTTCCATTTGCACCAGTGATCGCTGTTTGTAGTCACATAGGAATAGATAGAATACTGATTTTCAAGTTCGGTCCCAGTAACTGTTGTGTAAATAGATAAAACTAGTTTCTTTATTTCAATTTATTTTTCCTTTCATGTACTGTACTTACGTCAAGTGAGTTTTAAAAGTAAAAACAATGAGGTAAATTTGGTCTCCAAGAATCAAAAAGTGTGATAACAGTGGCAACCTCAATAAGTAATAACAGCGGCAATTTATATATATATATATATATATATATATATATATATATGTATGTATTCATGTTCACTTCAATGTTCCCTTTTATATTTATATAAAATATAAAAGTGAACATTGAAGTGAAGACTTAGAAGCGACAGTCTGTTTCGCCAGACCACCCAAAATATGTGTGCTTATATGTCTCTCAATATATATATATATATATATATATATATATATGCATGCAATATCCAAATCAAATAAACCTCAATAACTCAAAAAAGTTCTGAACTAATTTTACTTAAATTAAACTTCATCTCTCTCTCTCTCT